GGAGGGTGAGGAAAAGACACAATTCTTAAAAAATTTTTCTCAATGGAATGCCTCTAATTGGGGCACTCTGCATGATTTCTAGAAGACACAACTGGTCTAGACCGTTACCAAGTTCCCAAGGAATTTATACTCCAATCGTAGAGATAGGAAGTTCACAGATAACAACAAAAGACAAAATACAGGATGAAGAACCTTGTCAGAGAACCAAGAGATCAGGACTGCGTCCGCCCGCTGTGTGCCTCGGACCAAAGGATCAATATTAAGCTTCCAGGTCTGTGACCGGCTTGGAAGGTGCAACCACCGAGAAGGTGAGGCTGAGGTTACCATGACAGGACGTCTGAGCCCGCCGCAGGGAGAAAACTATAAGAGCTGCTGGACCCACAAAGCACTGTCCCGTCCCGCGCCACTTTCCCTCTAATTACGTGTTTAAGGGCTGCGCTCTGCCTGCCAGGACCGGATGCTTAGAGATGCTGCCTCACTGGGAAGCCGTCAGACCTAGTCCGCTCCGCACCTGTGGCCACTACCCACACTGCTAAGTCTAACTCCTGGAGAGGCTAGCCTAACACCTTTCCCACTCCACTTTACAATACGACGGGGGGAGAGCTTTCCAGAAGCAAATCCGATCCTCTCCGCTCTCCGTGGAGCTACTCAATCTCACACAGGATAAAACCCCGCATCCTCACGAAGTGTGGAGGAAACCTCACGGCGTCACCCCTTCCCGGCCCTCCCAGGCTGCGCCTGCCCTCTCCCCGATCCGGGGCAGCGCGGAGGAGCTCCAGACCCTGGCTGGCCTTTGCGCAGCTACCGCCCCGCAAGCTCTCCGGTGGAGCTCTCTCCCAGGGCCTCCCTCGGCTCTGTGCCCTCCTCCGCAACACATACTCCACACGTTCCAGGGACCCCTCCTCCTGAAACACGGGGACACAACCCACACGGTTTTAAACGGTCCCACACCTGGCACAGCACCTAGGCCTGCGCCGGGCAAGGACGGAGTGCTCCGTTAACACTGACGAAGTGACACTGGGCATAGGGCCTGACCTGCGGGTGATCAAATATGAAGAGTACTAAGACGGAATAGAGGTGCCACGGGAAGTCAAGTCTGCCTGAAACAGGAGGGTCACAGGGAGCCACAGGGACAACGCAGAGCCACACCTGGGCCACCAGCATCACCTGTCTCCTCCTAAGAACCTAAGCATCGTGTCGGATGTGGCGGCGCGTGCCTGTAATCCCAGCACTCAGGAGGCTGCGGCAGGATCATTGCGAGTTCGAGACCAGCCTGGGCTACAAAGTCAGCTCAAGGCCAGTGTGAACTTCACAGGGACAGCCTGTCTCAAAAAAAAAAAAAAAAAAAAAAAAAACCACGAGTGGTGTGTATCAGAGTAAGCTCTGCAGAAATAGCATGGGACCCACACATTCAACCATCTAACAGCCAAACTAGGATCCCAAAACAAGCAACCAACCCCCGCATAAAACCCTCCCGCCTGAAAGCCCTGATGATGTCCTGGATAGCTAGCTCCCTTTTTTGAAACTTTTCTTAACAAAGTGTGAACCACAGGGAACGCAAGAAACAAAATGAAACAGCACACTAAATCTGATTTCTCCATTCTGCCACAGAAGACGCTCCTATCACCTCTTACCTGGACAGGAAGAGATGCTGAATCAAATCGCTGACAAACTGGGGCTGGCGGGGGAAGCGCTAGGGACATCGCAACCAACAACACTTTCCAGGGGCTGGGGATTTAGCTCAGCGGCAGAAGCGCCTGCCTGGCAAGTGCAAGGTCGTGAGTTCGGTTCCCGGTACCGGAGAAAACCAAAAAACCAAAAAAAAAAAAAAAAACCTTTCCGCCACCAGGCAGGGTGGCGAACAACCCCCTTCCAGGGTCTGGAATAGTAATGTGGGGTCTCTACCAGTAAACCAGGGACCACGAGCCGTGGATGTCCTCGCTTCTGCTTAGATGTAACTTCTGCGGTTGGTTTCTGAGGCTGATTAGAAAATAAGGGGCCTTTCACAAAAATGCTCCATGCCAACAGCTTAGCTCATTAGCAGACCTTCTTAGCCATCCTTTCTGGTGGCCACGAGTTATGCAAACAAGGAAAATACCATGGTGAAACTTAACATCTTTGATTCTTGTTTGGGTTTTCCCAAAAAGAAGGTAACCAGGAGGCTTAGGTACTGAAGAGTTTCAGGAGTAAGCAAAACACACTGCTTTAAAAGCCCCAGCTCCTAGGGGCTGGGGATTTAGCTCAGCGGCAACGCGCCTGCCTGGCAAGTGCAAGGTCGTGAGTTCGGTTCCTGGTACCGGAGAAAAACCAAAAAAAAAAAAAAAAGAAAAAACCAAACAAATAAAAGCCCTAGCTCCTGGTCTACAAGAAAGTACACTTCCACGTAAGCATATAAAGTATCTCCAGGACAATCAGGGAGGACAGCTAGTTGGAAAAACTTTGCTTTTTGTGTCCTGCAAATCTGTGCACGATAATGTCGCGTTATACCTGGAAACCTGTCAAAATACCCCCTGCTCTAAATTATAAAGTTAATATTTAGGAGGGATTTCACTGAGCATTTGAGCGGGTTTTAAACTACTATACAACTACCGGAACAAGTCCTAGTAGAAATATATTAGTCAACTGCATTAACATTACAAAACCAGAGGCAGAGGTCAAAATTATTAAATTTCAGCAGTCTCCCTTCCCATACTTGGAAATCTTTTGTAATAATTTTGTAATAGGCTGTCAGCCTACCTCCAGTAACCATTAAAAAGGCTTATTATTTTATAACAACATAAGCTTGCAATCGGCACGGACAAATATTGTCTGATGTAAAAATCACTGTAACTCGCATCAAATGTGCATTTTCAAAAAGAACCAAAAATTGCTGACGTCTACTTAAATGTGTGTCACTTGACAGGAATATGTTGAGTTAACCGATTAGTAGGAAGTTGGGCTGGGGATTTAGCTCAGCGGCAAAGTGCCTGCCTGGCAAGCGCAAGGTCGTGAGTTCAGTTCCCGGTACCGGAGAAAAACCAAAAACAGAAACAAGAATCCCGATTGCTAGGAAGTTTCCATACAAATAGCTTCTGGAGGGCGGGGGAGGAGGCATATCTATACGTACACCGACTCGAACAGGCATGCATTACCTCTGTAATTAAAAAGAGTTCAGTGCTCGCAGTGAATTTTATCAACAGAAAAACAGAGACTACACCAAATCAGTTTTTCTTTCCAAACTGAGATCTGTTGATGGTACAGCGTAAGAAATAAACGTTAGAGCCTCTTGCTCAAGCCAATTTCCATTTAAACAGCGACCTCTCCCTTTGACACCAACATTTTCCTGGGGAACTCCTGGCGCTAATTTTACCGTCATTTTTGAAAGTTTGCTCCTATGGGTTGTGTATTTTACGTAGTTGGGATTTGCTACCTGATCTTGCTAAATACTAGCGGCACACGTTCTCCGGCCGCCAGGGATCAGGTGGGAAAAGCACTGAACTGCAGAGATCACGCAAGACGGAAAAGCTGGGGCTGGAGGCGCGCAGCTGCAGATCCCTTGGGCGTCGGTGTCCTCCGCACCGCCCGCCACCTTCACGCAAGTGGGCACCCGGCGAGCGGCTCCGCCAGGCGGGGGGTGACCCCCTCCGCCCGCCTGGGCCGCGGACCACAAGAAATGTGCCCATTTCTTCTGGCTCAAGTCATCGGGCCAAGAAATGTGAAAGGAGCAGAAGCCACACCCAAGTCCTCAAACGAAGTTAGTGCTGCGGTCGGGAGGCCGGAGCGGGGCTCTCGGACGCGCGGGACCGACGCCGCGGCGGGAGGAGGAGACGGGTGCGGGCTCCGCGAGACGGGTGCGCCCCGCAGGC